AAATGAACAAATACATGTTGAAAATGACCAAAATCATGTCAGGTATAAAAGCTAAATGTACATTTATTTATTTGCTGATTACTTATTATGTACATACAAACCAACCATGAAGACAGTTCATTTGTTCATGTCAAATTTTAACCGCATGTTGTTCAGTGGTTTTTCATCTAAATGGATGCCGCCTGTATGACCTCTCTTCTAGTCACAAAATTTTAAAATTTCATTAGGATGTTCAATAAAAAATGGCACTGTCACTTGTAACGTAAAAAACGTTCATGATATTGCTTTGTTTACATTTAAATATATCAAAGAATAAACGAGATTTTAAAAAGATGTTCCGGGTAACAAAGAGCCAGCAAAATATATTAAAATCGTTATAATTTTTCGTTCTAGCGTATGTGTTTTAATTAATTCAATACGGGGGTTCGACTGACACTTTACGAGCTATTATTTCGCGATGTAGTTACGTTTCATTTAAATCCAGCGCCACATTCGAGGAACACATTTCATCCATGATAAATTGAAAATGTTTGATTTACAGATAAATAGATAAATCCCAAATTTACATTACTTACCTCCCTTACCAAAAGTGGCAGACAATTGGATTGTCACAATATGAAAACATCGAAATAAACAGCTTATTTTGGTCAATTGTCAAATTCTTTAATACATATAGAGGAAAATATTAATATAGCACCAAATTGAATATGTATAAGATGTTCATCAGTTTATAAGAAGATGACAGTATTATATCAGATTTTCTTTCTTAGCTTAATCATATGATATATATTGAGAATGACCCTCAAAATGGCGCGACCAGGGGAGGTAATAATATGTATATGAAAAGAATCAATTGGATTCGGTAACTCTATAAATGACATAGCCCATCACTTATCTTAACTTCGCGCGTGTTCATTGTAACTGCATTGTATACAATATATTTTTTATTTGCTTTATATTTACAATCGCAGGTGTTTTTTCTTTCTTTTTCTTTTTAATACTCAATACGTCATATTTTTCGCGCGTGTTCATTGTGATTATATTGTATACAATATATATTTTTATTGGCTTTATAGTAACAATCGCAGGTGTTTTTTCTTTCTATTTTTTATAATCAATACGTCATATTTTTCGCGCGTGTTCATTGTGACTATATTGTATACAATATATATTTTTATTGGCTTTATAGTAACAATCGCAGGTGTTTTTTCTTTCTTTTTTTAATAATCAATACGTCATATTTTAATAGAATTTGGTTTATTTATACATGTACACATGTTATGGTGAAATGTCGGATAAATTGTTATTACTAGTAGTATTATTATCATCATTATTTTAAGGCAAATTTGCATTAAAGTGGATTTGACGATCAAGTTAGAACATCAATCACAGATAACACATGGAATTCATTATCTCCGTCCATTTGAATTAATATCCGTAATACATAATGGTTAAATACAAAACAAAATGGCGGTGTCAGTATTTTAATCTATTGTCTCCGCTAAAACGCAATTTTATAGGGTACGTACGCACTTTGCATTTTAATGCCACATTACGTCGCATTTTTGTAAAACAACATAAATGTGCCCGGATGTAACTAATTTTCGTTCGCCGCCATTTTGTTTTTGTTTACTGCTTGCCAATGTGATTCACCCAAAAATGTGACTCGAATTGGTCTATTCAATACAAAAAACTATGATAGCATTCATTGTGCGATCGACGCTTCTTTTCCAACCGTGTTTCCCTGTAATCTCGGCATCGTAATTTAAGCATTAACATATCAAGTACAGACCGTACACAACGAACTCTTTGCACGCTTGTGATCTGTACCACTTCTCAATTTCCGCCTCTTCGTCCATTACTCCGATAATGTCCCAGAAATGAACATTCAGTTTGCTGCCGCGGTCAAGCATTGTGCACGAATGATCACGCTGAGACAGGTAGTTGTTTTTGCAGCCAAAGCACAACAAGCGCGAGATCTTTTCAAACTTTTTTACAATAGCTTTCGCGTAATGTATCTGCAGCGAAAACTCGAGTGAGCAGACGACACTGTGCTGCTGTCCAACTTTTGATTTGTCTGCTGCTGTAAGCTCCATACTGTGTGACAGTGTTTTAATAATGGCTATGTCATATAGACATGTATCCCCTGGCAGACAGACAATATACATTAGCGTGAATGTTAATGCATTGGTCATTGTTGTTTGGATGTGTCTTGAAAAAACATTTCAATACATACCGTCTAATGCCTCCATTCAATCTCGGCCGAACTGTTTGCTTATTAAACACTCCGCCATCTTTGATGGCACTTTAAAGCTATACTTATTTTTTTAAGGGATAATCATCTCCCTTTCAAATGGGATTAGCAAATGTGATTAAAAATAAGTTGTGTATTCGTAATTGTATGTTAATTGTATTTTAATTGTATTGTTATTGTATTGTTATTGTATTGTTATCGTATTGTTATTGTATTACGTAACTAATCCTTAATCGATTACGTAACTAATCCCCGATCCCGATCCTGCTCAGGCTCAGGGGAACGCTTCGCTATCATTTCCATACTACTATCCGGAATAATGACTAGTCCTTAATCTATATAAAAAATGACTTGTGTGCAGAAATGATTAGGTACGGTTTCTGTAATGAGCTCATTTTTTTTGCGCGGAGCTTCTCAATTGCTGCATTGCAGCAACATTTGTACTTGTTGAATGTTTAGATTTCAGCTTTATAATAAATACAGCTGTTACAGTAATTATTTTATCTTTTATCTGTGTGCAAAACAATCACTATTGTATGTCCCTTTATATACACTCTTTGTAAACAATGTTATGATATATCGTTTATAATCCTTTGCGAACGTATCTCTACCTTTGTGGGGAACAATCAGCCAAGAATGTGGCGTTTTTTGTGCCAATGATCTTATGCATAGATCACTGACCTGTCTACTTCTAGTCATGTTACTCTGCTCTCTCGTCAATACTTGAGCCGCCCCTCCCCTTCCCCCCCCCTTCCCCATCCCCGAACAATTGCCTTCAGCAAAAGAAAAAGATTATTCAAATTTCAAGTGGATTAATCACGTTATTAATCCCTGATCCAGATAAAAAAAACTAAAACCCTTTCGCTATGCGAAAGCTACTATTGCCATTGGTTAAACTAAACAATTTAAACAATTTTTAAAAATCATCAAATTTAGGTTCTACATTCTTTTGGAGAGTTTGTACAAAATATCATGTAAAAATTTTGCACTGTCAGAAGTTCATAGGAAATTTCGAGTTCGGCAGTATTTAGTTTTGGAGTGACTAAGAGATCCTACTTGTAAGACGTGACATTTCTTTTAGTTAAATTTTAGGAATGGTATGTTGTTGTAACCATCGAATATTGCTATTAATGTTTCGAAAGACTCTCTTGACCCATCAGTTACGAAGGTTGCATCATCCGCATATAACATATTTTTAATCTCAATTTCATTTATGTTTATGCCTTTTTTCATGTTTACATATACAGTTGGAAACGAGTTCGATGCATATATTAATTATATACGGAGGAAGTGGACATCCTTGACGTACACCTCTATCTATTTTAAAGAAATGTGACATGAACTTTTCTGCTCACTGTATAAAAGTTTAATTCACTGTATTATTGCTTTGCCAAAATTAAAAAGATTCCAAAACTTGAAAAATGATTAAAACTGCCAAAGGCTTTTTCAAAGTCTGTAAAAAATAAAAGTGCATCTGTTTCCCTTTTTTCCATTTGTTCTAATACTTCAAAGATCGTCTGTATATTTTCCCAATGTATCTGTCTTTCATGAACCCAGACTGATTTTGACTGATGTTTAAAGGTAAAACTTTTTTTCATCCTATTTGCAACGATTTTATAACCAATATCTAAAAGACTAATTGGACGCCAGTTTTTAAAAACTTTTGAAGTTAAGTCAAATTTTCAATATCAAAGGAATGATTGATAGAGTACATGTGGTAATATTTTATATCATTTTATATCATTCCAAAAGATTTTATAAAATTCTGTTCTTAATCCATCTGATCCTGGACTTTTATAATTATTGATACTCGTATTTTGTAAATTCATTTTCAGTAAGTTAGCTTTCTAGAGATGTTCGTTCTATATCACTTGTTTTTAAAAATAAATCTAGTTGTTTTTGGTTCAACATTTTTTCGTTTCTACAAGATACAGGAACATGCAAATCAAAAATTCTAAAATGAGACATATAAACGTTTTATGCCTTTATGGGCATGCGGCCTGAAAGATAAGGTGTAAGGATAAATAACAGAGTACGTGGGACGGTGATATTTGATAAAATGTGGATATTTAAATCTATGAGTGTGTAATAAAATTACAAGGACTTAACAGGCACTTAAAAGCCATTCATAAATCAAAACTGTCTAACTGCCTTCATGAATCCAAATAACCTTGTAAAGTATTCTCTCTTTTAATAAAGGTATAAACAAGTCGAAAAAAACTAATAACATTTTACATGGAAATGTGTAAAATTTCAAAAAACGAACATGACTTCCATAATTTTGTAACGTCACCATGAAATTGAAATTAAAAAATAATCGAAACACTGTTTTTATTATTAGAAAGTTATAATCCGTGCATATATAAATAATGCAAAATAAAAAGGGCATTAACTAAAAAAACTATAAACGGTAAAGTTATTATTATTGCTTGTGAACTGCACTTTTTCTTAATAAGAGTTATTTACCATTATAGTTTTAAGTTGATATCTTAAATACGTTTTGAGTAATGCATTTGACAATTATATTTTTTTAAAAATCAAACGGTTAATCCCTAAAGATTTCCGAAGAAAAGAGATATCATTCTTATACACAGCACTCTCCCTTAATGATATTTATTCACCCATGAAGTTTTCATTTTTTATACCTTATGCTTTTCGAGTAACACACCGGACAAAAAATGCGGGATTGAATGACGGGTGGTGACTATTACCATTCCCCTACATCAAAAATATCATATTGCTACTATTAGACGCCTACCTGAGTCCTTATACGGTAATTTGTCGCAATTATTTCTCTTGAATAAGCAAGAACTACGATTATTGAAGACGTTCCTGACCAAAATGCTTCACATGCCACAGAATGAGTACCATTCATATTGTCGGTGACCACACAGGGAGCGGATGCTTGCAATTGTTTGTTCTCTATCGTTGCTCTCAAATGATCTCCTCCAAACATTATTCGTTTACTATATCCATCCTTCATTGTAACAAGAATGGTGATTTCATCACCAATATTGTATGGTTGGTCTTTATATTCTACAAAATTGTTAAATACATGTAAAATTTAGATTTTTATTCAACTTTATTCCCAGTTTATTCTTATTTAAAATTTAAAGTCATATTTTAACGTAAAAAGACAGTTTGAATTCAAGTGTACTTTCATATCATAATAATATTTAAATAAATAAATACAGGAAATTTTGAGTTTAAGATAGCTAAATCAGAGTGAAACCAGCTCTTTAACAATGCTACCCTTCATAAACATAACATCTTATCTGATATATATTCCATGTAAATTATCATGTTTTAATATGACTACTGTCCGACAATAATTGCATGACAATTTTGAAATAATCTAATTTTCAAGAAGTCTCGTCGTCCATAACAAATCCTTCGAATCATTCTTATTTATCAGTTTAAGAAAACAAGTTTATACGTTGATTTTAAATGGTTCTAAACCAAACGAAACAGCAACAACAAAGTGATTAAACGAGATTAAATCGCCATTCCTTTTTGGTCGTTATCATTTATATTCAATAAAAGGTAAGTATATATTATACTGAACAAATAGCTCGGATTGTCTTTACTTTTTATATGCCCGAAAGAATTTTGGACATATTATGTTATACCCCCTGGCGTCCGTCTGTCCGTCCGTTCGTTAGCAATTTGGTTTCCGGAGCATAACTTAAGTTCCATTTGGCCCACAGTATTCAAACTTCCTAGGATGATTGTCCATATTGAGTAGAAGACCCCTATTGATTTTTGGGTTACAAGGTCAAAGGTCAAGGTCACTATTACTTTAAAACTGAAAACAGATTCCAGAAGATAACTTAAGTTCCATTTGGCCCACAGTGTTCAAATTTTATAGGATCATTGTCCATATTTGGTAGAACACCCCTATTGATTTTGGGGTCAAAAGGTCAAAGTTCAAGGTCACTATTACTTTAAAACTGAAAAACAGTTTCCGGAGCATAACTTAAGTTCCATTTGGCTCACAATATTCAAACTTCATGGGAGGATTGCTATTTGAAGGAGGTACTTTATTTCATTCCCATGTCTTACAAATGCTTCATCCTTACTAAAAAAAACACTTACGGGCATATAATGCTCCGCCTAACGGTGCTCTTTTTGCAAAATGATATCTTATATTGATGTTTTATTCGAAATATTACTCACCTATAAAAGACAGAGAGGAATGCTTTATCGATGCCGACAGATTTTCATCCGTGCATGGTTTAATTTTGAGGGCTTCTTCCTCCAGTATTATGTTATAAAACCTTGCATCACGTGGGTCACTCACGTCATAAGAGAAATGCTTTAAACTACAAACAAGAACAATTTCTCAGAATGTCATTGAGACAAAAGAACAAATTTGGTATAGCATTTGCTAGTATCTAAAACTTATAGACGCTACGTCATAATATGTGCTACCAAAATAAACTTTAGTGTTGTTTTATTTTTTTGTTGTTTTTTTGGGGGGTGGTTTTGTGTTGTTTTATATTTTTTTTTATTATTATTATTATTGTTTTGTTTTTTACACTGACATGCTGTCACTTCCTTTCTGTAATTTAGGCACTGTCAGATCTAAATAAACGAGCTTTAGTATTTTACCTACCAGCAACGCTCGCTTAAGATATTAGAGTGTGGTTGCTTAAAGGTGAAGCGGCGTAAAATATTGTCACCATTGCATGTATAAATTATAACTTTAAATAACATTGTCACGAACATTACCTCAACTCTGGTTCCCATGTTACCGCTGATGCCGGAAGTAGTCGAATATGGAAGTTGTATACTGAAGTATCTGTGAACATATATGTCATCAGCAAAGTGGCTAATATTACAATACCGATCACGTATTTCCACTCATTTCTGAAAGTTAAGTAAAACTGATGTTGACTAAGGTAAACACATCAAAACAATGGAAAATATTAACTATATAATATACATAAGCAGCGTCCGTGGCTGATTGGTTATTTTCCTGTTTTAGTAATAAAAATGTTATTTATGGTGTTTGTTTATGCCTATTTTGATTATCTTAAATATTTTATTTACTTTTATTTACTTTTATTATACCTCAATATATCCTTCACACTGTAAACACTCATTATGTGTTCTGATTGAATATCATCCTCCAAGGATATATTCCCCGGGAAATATTTCTTATCTCACCGTAGGGCACATAACTCATGAATATTGAATATTGAATTTCAGGAATTTTTAAAGTTTAACCAGACTTTGTTACAATATGTTTTTAAAGTATTTAATATTGTTCTAGTTAATTCCCTTCCACTATTTTTTCTATTTTACTCAATATTATCATGATCGTAGAAAAGACAATTTGCCACAATATTGTTTACATGTGTTCAATAATTAATAAAATGTCTTTTACCAACATTTCTGATGATGATTTAGCTAGACTTGTAGGTATTTCGCCTCGGGTTAATATACCAGTTCTCGGGTTGACAATATCCTCTATCACCCCGACAGCCATGCGTTATTTATATAAAATGCTTTGAATTAAAGTCTTATTCAAAGGGGCGATGTATAATGTTTCAATAGAAAAGAGATTTTCAATTATTTGCTACTAGTGCCTGGACGTCGTCAATAAAAAACCAATCAATTTAAATATATGGAACAGAATTAATGCATTTATTCTATCTTGCTTGATGGCATTGGAACTTGCATTATGCTTGATTCCATCTTGCTTTATGATATCTTAACTTGTATTGTGCTTGATTCCATTTGTATTATTTCATTCAAAATTGCATACTGACTTATTCTTTCATTGAGTGGTACGATTTGAAATATTAAAAATCAATCGTCATATACTGTATGTATTAATGCTCTATACAAACTATTTACGATTTAGTTCTTTTTGTATTACCTTTTTTGTAGAAGTAATTCAAAATAGATTATTTTTTATTCCCTACTTTCTTTTGTACACCGAAAATTACACGACGGATTTTGTTAAAGTGTGTTTTTAATGATTTATCGCACGCATGGCGTGATTACTGTGAGCTTTCGCTTATATCGATTATTCAGTGTTAATATTAAATAAAGCTTTATTGATTACGTTTGATCATCTGACATTGTATATTAAATAAATTAAACAATGTCAACGATTGTGAACTGTTAGGGAGCGAGAACTCTATTATCGAGATCAACGGATTTTTTTCTCCGCATTTCGCCTCTCACCATATTTTCTGTACAGAAAATGTGGTGACAGAATTCTTTTTCGAATATATATAAAAATGTACCAAGTACTTAATATATAAATTGCCCAGTATCGATGCGCAGCGTTTATGTATTGCATTTTATTTGTGATCAGTGAATATACGAATATGAAGACTAAGACACTTAAATTCACCAAATATTGATTCAATTATTTGTGGTGAAATAGTGTCGACAATGAAAATGGTAGATTTGTAGCAAATTAAAGGTTTTGACGGAAACGTACAATTTTACATCTAGTTATGTCAATAAAAAGTAAATAATGTTCTTTAAAACGCCGAACATTATTTACTTGTTATTGATATAACTAGAAACTAAATGAGCCGCATCACGACAAAACCAACATAGTGCGTCTGCGACCAGCATAGATCCAAACCAGCCTGCGCATCCGCGCAGTCTGATCAGGATCAATGCTGTTCGCTTACCAACTCTATTACAAGTAGAGAAACTGATAGCGAACAGCATGGATCCTGACCAGACTGCGCGGATGCGCAGGCTTGTCTGGTTCCATGCTGGTCGCAAACCAATTATGTTGGTTTTGTCGTGACGCGGCTCAAATGTAAAATGTAGAATTTTTTTAATCGTCTTTGTTAAATTGATAGATAGGACATGGTGTTCTATTGATATAACATCATATTCATTCCACATTGTATAGAATGATTATAAAAGGAAGTCAAGTCTCCCTCGACTGAAGCGTTTCTTCAATGAAAGGCAAAACAAAATATGAAAAAAAATCTGTTCTTTATTATTTGCTCAATCTTATTATGTAACGTGCATGAAAAAATACTGAGTCGCGTCGATAAAATACTCTCAGTGCCTGAATGGCAAATGGACCCTCATTAAGCGTAGAATACATACATAAATACAAATAAGTCAGTTTTCAGGAACAATGTTATACGTGTAATTGAAGCCTTGCTCCATACATAGAGATTTATTTTGTAAGATGCTTAAGAAAAGCATAGGCTTTAAGAAAAGTAAAACTATTCAAGATTCAAGTGATAACTTACAAGTAAAATGCGATCATTTACTGATTTTGCAGTACTTATTGCCATAATTCTCCTGCGTTACTAACGCAGTACGGGCTATTTTTGCATATCTTATAATAACAATAATACATTGTAATAATAATATCTTTATTTAAAGAAAGTAACACATGAAGATATACAATCATAGAAAACAAATAACATATCTTAGTTTTAAATGTGGCCTTCTCAACAATATATTGAAAAGCAAACACAAAACATCTTAAAACAATAACAACTATTCCATTAAGATTTTAACTTATAACTTTCTTTTTTGGACAAACGCTCCTTTAAGATATTAAATATAATATAGATCTTATAAAATTTTCATTTGCAAATAGTTTAACAAATATACATTCATAATAAGTATTATAACATTAGACATAATGACAGAGTCATGAAGATATTTATTTGATCTGCAAGCTATGTTTTATACTTATTTCTAAAAGATGTCAGAGAATTAGAAGAACGTATATTAGATGGTATTCTATTACAAATCTTTTCACCATCGTACAAAAGGTCTTTTTACCATAATTTGTGCGGTGTTCTATGTCATTTTGACCACGTGTTGGTACTTTACGTGGGTTGTAAGCGCCGTTTGCAATTCGTAAATTAATATCTATGTTCACTTCACAATATTTAACTTTCATATGTATTTTCAAAATTTCCATGAAAATGATCATGAATCTGGAGATGGTTAATGATATAAAGCGACTAGCCAATATTGATTGCTCACTAGTTCAATTATTTATAACCAGTGATTAGAAATACAATAAATCAATTGACACAACGCATTTTTGTGTTGATCACTAATCGATATCTAGCCATGACGTCAACAACCTTATTCTTCATAAAAGTTATATTTTTATCCGCGTTGTTTCTACTGATGAAATCAGGCTGGGGCATATGTATGTGTATGAGTTATATAAGTGAACGGAGGTTGCGAGTTCGAATCCTGGTCAAATTATAATATACAAATTATCCGCGAAAAACATAATTTACGTCAAAAACAAT